AAAAAAAAAAAAAAAAAACCAGAAAAGTGAAATCATTTTTTATCTTCTTCCTTAAACTCCCCCTGTTCAAAACCTCTTGCGTACAAGGCCGCCCACGTGGATGTAGGTTGAGCGGCGGCTGCCCCCACCCCCSTGTGTCATATTGACCCACTTGCACACAGCCAAAAGGCAAAGAGGCAAAGAAAAGAGGAAGGGAACAGCCAGATACAACAAAACAGGGAGAAACAAACATAAACCAATCCTAGATGACAAGTCCCACATGCAAGCACCGCCCCCACCATCAGGGCCAAACAACGGGACAAGACCAAATAGATATATATATTGTCACAAACAGAACTGCCCGGTAAAACGTAGGCAGAGAGAGAGAAGAGGACAACAAACGAGGGGCTGTGACAAACTGTTTCGTCGGAGTTTCACGACTCATCAGTCACATTGTGAATCAGAGCGCACAAAAGGGGAAAGAAAAAAGGAAAAGGAAAAATATATATATATATTTGGGAACCAAATATATATATCGTCACATGAATATGAGAGCGCAAAGGCCAAAAAACAGAAAAAAAAAAAAAAAACAATTCCTTTTTTTTAATCTTCTTTCTTACAACTCCCCCTGTTGAGAACCTCTTGCGTACTTCAGTGGTAATTTTGGATGGTGAAAACTGTTATGGGTCATATGTTTCCTCTGGTCTTTTTCTTTCATATAAGCTCAAAGATTGCAGCCCTGATGGCTGTGTTGTGTATGAAGAATAGATATGCAGCATTAGTTCAAGTTGGTAGAGCATTCCTACAGGTTAGTGGTTGATAAAAAAAAAAAAAAAAAAAAAAAAAAAAAAAAGGACAGCATTTCTAAAACTGGGATAACTCCCGGTAGAATTGTGAGGTTCCCGGCCTCCTTCATTCTGTTGGGTAAGAAGAAGTTGAACTAAAATAGGAGAGAGAAAGAGATTTTTTTGTGTGTTTGCTGTGGTTTGTTGTGCCGGAATGAGGTTAAGAGGACTGATGGTGGGTCCCTGAGTCGTTTTCTGAAAAAAAAAAAAAAAAAAAAAAAAAAAAAAAGAGGTTAGTGGTTGATATGGGGCACGGATTGATTGCTCCTTGATAAGCTAAACCGGCTGATGCTGCCGGCCGGGATAACTCCGGGTAGAATTGTGAGGTCCCCGGCCTCCTTCATTCTGTTGGGTAAGAAGAAGTCGGATCTTTTGTCGGAAAAAAAAAAAAAAAAAAAAAAAAACCTCTTGCGTACAAGGCCGCCCACGTGGATGTAGGTTGAGCGGCGGCTGCCCCCACCCCCGTGTGTCATATCGACCCACTTGCACAGCCAAAGGGCAAAGAGGCAAAGAAAAGAGGAAGGGAACAACAGCCAAATACAACAGAACAGGGGCCAACAAGCAATAGCACCAAAAACGTATCCTAGATGACAAGTCCCACATGCAAGCACCGCCCCTCCCTCCTTCACAGGCCAAACGACGGGACAAGACCACCCAGGACAAAGCACTCTTGCTTGTCTCCAAAAAAAAAAAAAAAAAATCCCAGATTGCATATCTATATACAGCAGATCGCCTTGCTCGTCCTCAAGACGTGGGTATTCCCATTTGTAAACCGTTCTTACTGGGACAAAAAAAATAAAATACATAAGAGACAATCCCAGATGATGATTCCCACATAAAATCACCGCCCCCTCCTCACACAGGCCTAACAACGGGAAGCAACCAACTACTAGTAGGGTGCCTAGATGACAATAAAAGAGAACCCGGATGACTGGTCCCCACATGAAAGCACCGCTACGCTCGCCGAAATAGACCGAACAACAACGGGACAAAACCAACCGGGGTGCAGACAAGGTTACCTTCTACCATATCCATACTTTTTAAAAACGGAACCATACAGTATATCTATATATATCGTCACAAATTTATCAGAGCGCAAATGCGAAAAAAAGAAGAAATAAATTCATTTTTTATCTTCTTCCTTACAAGACTCCCCCTGTTCAGAACCTCCTCTTGCGTACAAGGCCGCCCACGTGGATGTAGGTTGAGCGGCGGCTGCCCCCACCCCCCCGTGTGTCATATCGACCCACTTGCACACAGCCCAAAGGCGAAGAGGCAAAGAAAAGAGGAAGGGAACAGCCAAACATTACAGAACAGGGGGCAAACGAATCCTAGATGACAAGTTGTCACACTGTGAGTCGGAGCGCAAAGGCGGAAACAGGCAAAACAAGGAAAGGAAAAGAAGGAAGGAAGGAAGGAAAGCCCCACCTGTTCGTCACCTCTTACGTACAAGGCCAGCCACGTGGATGACAGGTTGAGCGCTGGCTGCCCCCATCCATCCCCGTGTGTCACAAGGACCCCCCACTTGCACGCACGCAGCCAAAAGGCAAAAAAGAGGTAAAGAAAAGGAGGAAACCAAACCTGACAAGGAAAGAAAGCAAATGACACATCCCACAGATAATCCAATTGTCACAAAGCAAATAACACAATCCCATAGATCAACATATTTTTTCTTTTTCCTTATTTTCTTATTTTCTTTTCTTCTCTTTTTTTCTTTTTTTCTTTAACTGTTCCCACCTCGGCAGATAGGACAGCTACGGTGAGGATGATGTGGATGTTCACAAGCATACCCAAGGAGAGTTGCGCCAGCACAGCATTCAGCAGGACGGCTAGCACGAACCATCCCATCATGCCATGAAAACAGTCCTGACAGAGGACATCATGATGTTGTCCACATGTGTCAAAAAAAAAAACAGCAGGACGTTCATCACAGTGCGGCATCTTGCCGTTCTGATAGCGTCCTTGGGCACAAAAGGGACAACGTATATCTGGGTGATAGGGATGTGTACAATGAGGAAATGTTGGACAGCCAAACAGAGCTGCCTGGTAAGAACCGTAAGCAGAGAGGGAGGGGAGGGAGGGGAGGGAGAAGAGGACAAGAAACGAGGGGGGGGGCTGTGACAAAACTGTTTCGTCGGAGTTTTTCACCTACTGACTCATCTGGGCTGAAAGCTGTGCCAAATGCACCCTCTAAAAAACAGTCTGCAGCAGAATTCCCTAAAAGGGCCCTAACTGATTAAATCAGTCTGCCAAGTCCCACATGCACCCCGTTGACCCAATTCAATGTTGAACTACCTTCTTCCCCCGAATACAACGTACGGTCGTTATAGCTGTATCTAGACTGAAAGATGCGTCAAATACAGCTATAATGACCGTACGTTGTATTCGGGGGAAGAAGGTAGCTCAACACGTGTAAACCCCACGCGACGTTGGATCTGCATCGGGGGGAGCTGCGCATCTAGCGGTTGTTCTTAGGTGAAAAAAAAAATAAAAAAAATGCAAAGGTGCTGAAAAATCTCTCCACCCGAATAGAACACCCCCTACCCTGCCAATCCTCCGTTGAACTATATCTGTCTCTTATACACATCTAGATGTGTATAAGAGACAGGTATAGGGGGGTATAGGGGTGGTATAGGGAGTATTGCAGGGGCGAATGAGGGTGTTGAGGAGTTGTATGAAGGTATTGGAGGCGGGTATGGGGGTCTTGGTGGGGTTATTGGCCGTTCTGGACCCAAAAAAAAAAAAATCAGCCTCCTGATGAGTCGGTGAAACTCCGACGAACAGTTTGTCACAGCCGCTCGTTTGTTGTCCTCTTCTCCCTCTCTGCCGACGGTTTACTGGGCAGTTCTATTTATTTATTTATTTATTTATTTATTTATTTATTTGTTTATTTATTTATTTATTTATTTATTTATTTATTTGTTTGGGGCCCAGTAGCGGTAGGCTAGGTCTAGGCGGGTACCAGTCCAAGCAGCCTGTAGTCTGGGGCCTGTGCGGACGATATCAGAGCCTGCCAATTATGTTTCCCTCCGAAGGCGAGGGGGAGGTACCAGTTGCTTGGAGGCCGCGCAACCTGGATGTCACCGCCCGAGGAGGCTGCTGCCTCCGTATGTCGCCAGGAAGAGCCAGGAGCTCTTCCTCATTTGCTGCGTGCAAGTTTGTGCGACAGGGCGCATGGTGAAGCAGCGCTGCTGGGGAAGGAGCGCCGAGCTCTCCACCTTGGCTATGGCGGAGGAGCTCGGGCAGGAGGAGGAGGAAGAAGGGGCTAGGACACGGGAGCGCCAGGGGTACTTGCCTGGCTATGGTTGACACCATCTTCATCACCTTGGTGGGCGCTGCATCGGAAAGACCCCCGTTGGGATAGAGCTACATCAAGAAGCTTCGAGGCAGAGTCAGGCATGGCGGACTGAGAGAAAGAGGGCATATCTGCTTTGCGTTGTCTTTTGCACAGGAGGGCAGGGCCCTTAATAGGCCCCGACATAGCCTCGGCCTAAGCGAGGAGGAAGGAGAAGCGTGGCCATAGCTATGGACCTCAAGTTGTGCTGGCAGTAGAAGAGAGATTTGGACACTGATTCTGGTTCTGCCATCCATCACTGTTGTTGTTGTTATTATTATTATTATTATTACTATTATTATTATTATTATTATTATTATTATTATTATTATTATTATTATTTATTGTTTGAATAAGAGGGGAGGAGAAAAGGAGGAGTTTGGTTGGCAAGGAGAAAGGGAATTATCACTGGCTTCTTGCTGGTGTACATCTTCGTAGTATTCTTTCTTTCTTCTTCTTTTTCTTCTTCCTTCTTCTTCTTCTTCATCTTCTTCGTCTTCGTCTTTCCCTCCCTCTCCTCTCAAGTTCATTCATTTCTTTTTGCAATTGGTCGGCATTGTGCTTTATCGTGAATTTGTACTTTGAAATTGGCCAGGATCGTAACAGTTTAGTTTTTGCTCTTTCTTTATTAATAAATATGGAGAGCACGGGTTTATTTTTTATTTTTTTTTAAACTAATAATATGGCGAGTACGGGTTCCCAAGTCTACTCTGCAATTGCATACGTGTATGAGAACGTGTGAATTCGTCGTGGATTGAAGTTTAATCGGGCACATAACACATGTGCATAACACACACTGAACCACACCACAATACCATAACTCTTTTTTTCCGCAAATGGGTTGTAAGTCATAACAACGGGTTTACTTTTGTTTCGAGCTTCTGTCGGTTAACTGTCTGACAAATCCACTGAAAGGATTCACGCTGCAGACACACCAGTCCCAGTCCCAGGGTCCCACTGTGTCCCAGTCCCAGGCTGTCCCGGTAGGATAGGCCGTAGGGTCCATATAGGTTGAAGCGTCGTAGGTTGATATAGGTGCCGGTACCCGAAACGTCCCAGGCCGGTAAAAGTCAGTCTGGTACCCGACAAGCAAAAGTCCAGTCCAGTCCAGTCCCAAGTCCCAAGTCCAATTTTGCAGCATGTCCCAGGAAAGTCCGGAAGCTGCCGGACCAACAAAATGTTCCGCGGCAGACAGGTTGAGGCCGACCGGTACCGGTCTGAAGCAGGCTAAGCCAAGTCAAGCCAAGTCCTATATCTAGCTGCTACAGTGCGGCGGCTCATGACTTGGTCGATTGCAAGATGTGGACGTCCTGCTGAAGGAGGAAGGGGACGCTTGAGAGTTAGTGCAACTTGGGCAGTTTGCGACTGAAGGAGGAAGGGGACGCTTGAGAGTTACTCCATGGCTAGGGTAGAAGAAAGGTAGCAAGGAGGGTGGCCATAGCCGCCGAGTGTGAAGCTTTTACCTGAGTGGGTCTATCCAGGGTTACGATCTACATCCTTCCCCCGAACACAACGCGCGGTCATTCTAGCTGTATTTGGGGCATCTTTCAGTCTAAATACATCTATAATGGCCGTGTGTTGTATTCGGGGGAAGAAGGTAGGGTGGAGAGTCTGGAGACAGAGAGTGAAGTAAGTGGAGTGAACCAAGCCAGAGAGAAGAGTGGGGGTGAGAGAGAAGCCATAGCCATCAGCTGGTTGAGATCAGTTCTGTGTGTATGTGTGTGCGGCAGAGCTGCTAAAGACAAAAAACATTTCTTCTTTGTATAATAATGATAATTTTTTTTGGAGACGACTTGCTCATGTGTTGATTGTATGTCAGCTTTGGCTTCTCACGTGTGAACTCTCGTATGAWTGTTCATTKATGTATGCGCGGTAGAACCTGATGAGAACTYKKTTYATTTYAGTGGTATCGAACCTTTTTTTTTTTTTTTTTTTTTTTTTTKYTTTCCGATCCTCTGCTGGTTAACTCTCTGGCAAATCCACGTCATACTTCGATTTTTTTTTGCTTTTTACTTCCGTGCAAAATCCACGTTCTAATTTCAAAATCCAGGGTCGCCATTCGAACTCCGCATTCCTAAATTTGACTCCAGAGTCCAAACACCAACGGGGAAATAAAACGCAACCGAAAAAAAACAAAAAAAAAACACAACCGAACACAAAATCCACACTGACCTCCTCTGCAGCATCCTTGCTGACGTCAGGAAACGGGATGTCGATGTCGTGCGGATAAGTCGTTTCATCGTCATCTTTCTCTTGCACTTCGAATTCGCTCCCCATGTTCGAGGTTACAACCTCAAATTTGGGAAACCGCTCAAATTTCAAATAACCCTCTTCAGGCGGTCTCAGGCTGTCTCATGCCCACGCCTTTCACAAAGCTGTCCAAATTCGCTGTATCTTGGACTGGCAAAGCAGAATCTTCCAGAAGAACAGAATCAAGAGCGGTGACAGTCACTGCTGCGACGCCATCCCAGTCCAAGATACAGCGAATCTGGACAAAGTACTCGTGCGAGTATCTCTTGCGATGATGCCATGCAGGTCGACGGAGGGAGCTGTTGTGACAGCTGTCATCCCCGCTGTCGGATTCTGGACTGGCCCTGGAACGATGATCATAACGATCTCACGAACGCATACAAGCTACGTTTGCGGTCAGATTCTCGATCGACCTGACAATGATCATAACGATCTCGATGATCCAGCTCGCTCAGTCGCAACCCTCCAACCGCAGATACAGCAGCAAATCTGTAGAAAGTGCCGTGCGCCTGCGGCATCTGCAAGAAAAGAAAACAGATTTCAGTATCGTCGTGCTGCTACCTTCTTCCAAGAAGCACAATGCACCCTGATCATGAATGTATACAAGCTACGTTTACAGTTCAATACAGTCATGATGAGGGCGCATCATGTTCGGGGGAAGAGGACAGAGCCTGTCCAAGTGTCTACGCATCGCATCTGAAACATTTAAAAAAAAAAAAAAAAAAGCACACAAACAACTACAGGTTCACGGACAAGGTTCCATCCCATTCTGGCGAGTCTCAAACACTTTTCTTTCTTATGTTTTTTTTTTTTTTTTTCCCGGTCTGCTAGTATATCCAAGTGGTTATGGAATCTGGATCCATACTTTCTGGCCTCAGACCTCATCCGTGCAAGCACAGAATCGAACCGGCGCCCAGACTACGATCCTACAGCTACTCTACTAGCCTAGGAAATGACGAAGCAACCAGTTGACGTCAGCAGCAGCAACCCAAGTACATGCAGTTGGAGACCATGAAGACCACCGCCTCGACCATGTACGTGCTCTCACGTCACTTCCCCTCTCACCCTCTCTTGCGCATGCTCCTCTTCTACTCCCACGTCCAACCTCCTTCCAAAGACCACCGCCAATCCCCCGCTAACATCCAAGCTCAAGCCCGGCTATGGGGGCTGAGCTATGGCGCTGCCTTCTTGCAGCGCCTCTTCTTTCACACGACGCCCGCGCGCGCCGAAGCACCAGGCATCTAGCAGGCCAGCGCGAGCTCCCGCTCCAGCAGCGCTGCCGCATCCACTTGCAAGTGCCCGAATGCCTCCTCCTCGGCCGGGCACTTTGCTATATGCAAATTGGCCTGTCTTGCTAGCCGCCTGGCCTGGCCTCACGTGCGCCCAGCAGCTTCGGGTTGGGCCAAAGCGCCTGCGCCCAGACCCGTTCAGACCATGGCCTGGGACCGAATTGGTTAGGCGTGCCCATCCACCCAGGCGCAACATGCGGCGTTCCGTGCTTCCCCTGCGTTGCTGGAAGAGCCTAGAAGTCTCACAAATGTTTCTGATTTTCGCGAGCAAGGCAGATGTAACCAACGGGCGCGTGGCAACTGTCCAGTGCCCACCGAGGCTTTGCGAAATTGACGAATTCAGGCCTCATCGAGATTCAGGGGCCCGCCTTTGCTTCGGCCCACCACATGCTTGCTGTAGGGGCTACTTACAGGTATGACGATGAGGGCTCATACCCTCACACTCCCTCCTCCTTTACTTCGATAGTTCTCTGAGGAGTCTTCAATCAGCGGACTGCTTCCCTTTCAGTCTTCTCTCGTATCCAGAGAAAAATTGCGGTGCAGTCTTCATTTTCTCTTGTGAACCACCAATCTTCCTTCGGACCCACGTGATGCTTCATTTTCTCTTGTGAACCACCAATCTTCCTTCGGACCCACGTGATGTCTGAACCGCACTCGATACTGCATCTGCGGTTTAGGAGGTCGTCCCCCGCCTGGAGGCTTTGGTACAGGCATCACCTTGTGCTCGATGATGATGCCGTTGATGTCAACGTGTCCATCCATGGTTGGAGGCAGCATTGACCTCCTTGAGGGTGTGCGAAAAAAAAAGGGGCCAGTTTGGACTCTGGAGGCGTGAAAAACAGGGCGAGTTCGTAAGTGGCCAGGGATTTCTGAATAATAACATATGAGGGCCCATCCCATCGAGTGCATCCCCCCAACTATGTCTAGGACTTCCCAAGGCCCAAAGTACTGCGGCGGCATGAGTTTCCTAGGTGTTCCTACGGTCGTCACCCGAATAGAACGCCCGGTCATTATCGCTGCATCTAGACCGAAAGTTGTGCAAAATACAGATGTAATGACCGGGCGTTCTATTCGGGTGAAGACCGTAGTTCCTCTCCCAGCTCAGATGACTTAGCCCGTTAACCCAGAGTCCCAGACCCATAACCCAGAGTCCCAGACCCATAACCCAGAGTCCCAGACCCAATAACCCAGAGTCCCAGACCCATAACCCAGAGTCCCAGACCCATTCTCCTACCCGAAACGTTGATGCTCCTCTGGGCCTGTTTTCGGATGCAATGCAACCATAGCATCCTGAGCTTTCTTTATACGCTCGACAGCCTGCAGCAGCAGCTGTTCATACACACTTGACAACGAATTCCATGCTGCCTGCCTCTGCAGTGGGCTGGTTCTCTGGGAGCAGGAAGTCAATGGCAGGTCGTGGCTTCCACCCAAGGTGTAGCTAGTTGGGAGTCGCACCCGTGGTGCTGTGCACAGCATTGTTGTATAGGCTGGAGATGACATGTAACTTCTCGTCCCAGCCGTCCTCCCTGGGCTTAATATTATGCCTCAGCAATTGTTGCACTACCCGGGTTCATCTGCTCTGCCTGACCGTTTGACTCAGGACGATTGCCTGACGTCCGCATCTGCTTGGCCGTCTCTTGCCACAACTCACTAGCGAACTGGACGTCCCTGTCACTCGCTACAGACTTGGGCAGACCAAAATCGCGTCCCAAGTTATCTATAAACACCTTGATGACATAGTCGGTTCTTGTTGTTTCCAGCATGGCGATTAGTCTGGCGTACTCGCTGAATCTGTCCACAATACCGAAGATGTGCCGTTTGCCGCCGCTCTTGCTGGTCACGAGAGTAGAGTATCCATGAAGTAGTCCATGGAGACGCTCTGACCGGTGCCAGTAGGAACAGGCAAGGGCTTGATAAGCCCCCGCGGTGCCTGCGTTCTTGGTTTGTCACGCTGACAGACCTGGCATGTTTCTACATACTTCTTTGCATCATCCATCATCGTTTCTGCATACTTCTTCGCATCATCCATCATCATGGTCCACTGGCAACACTGTACTACGTTTGCTGATGTTTTCTTGAACCCAAAATGACCCGGTGCATCCTGACATTCACCCCAAGACAAACTGCGCAAAGAATCTCTAGATGGTACACAGCAGTCTTTTATTCCTTGCCTTTTCGAGGAACAAACTGCGCAAACAATCTCTAGATGGTACACAGCAGTCTTTTATTCCTTGCCCTTTCGACGAACAACATGCCGTTGACCAGCAAGCCGTTGACCAGCAAGCCGTTGACCAGCAAGCCGTTGACCAGCACGAACTCATCGGAACAGCAAGACGTTGACCAGCACAAACTCATCGGAACAGCAAGCCGTTGACAGCACGGACTCAACGGAACAGCAAGCCGTTCACCAGCACGAACTCATCGGTTGTGGCCTTAGCTTTGGCCTCGAGCTTGAACATAATCTCAGACATGATGGGATCCTTTCGATATGCAACCAGTCACCTCATGTAGACACCTCGTGTAGACAGCATGGACAATGCCACGTCAGCAGTCGAAACAGGTGGCATATGCCACATCATCAATGGAGACCAGAGGCAGCGCCACATCAGAATGTAGACAAGTGGTAACGCCACGTCAGCATGCACTGTAAGCCAGAGGCAGCGCCATATCAGCATGCAATGTAGACCAGAGGTAGCGCCATATCAGTATGCAATGTAGACCAGAGGTAGCACCACATCAGCATGCAATGTAGACCAGAGGTAGCGCCACATCAGCATGCAATGTAGCCCAGAGGTAGCGCCACCTCAGCATGCCACCTCAGCAAGCCTGGCGCACAATGCCGAAAGCGCCAGCATGCTGCTTCCACCTCGTGCCGTTGTCCGCATCGCCAATGTACAGCCAGCATTGAGCCAGCGTCAAGCCAGCATAATGCCAGCGTCTAGTCAAAGTTGAGCCAGCGTCAAAGCAGCATAGCAACACCGAATGCTTGCCTCACTCGAGGCCAGCCTTAAGTAGCAATTGTCGAGGCTGTCTGGCCTCGTGTGCTTTCCCCACCGTCGTCCAGATTGACTCACAGCTGAGGCCCCCGATTGTGCAGTTGCAGACTTCTCCCTTGGACCTGATGCTGTCTGCGTACCTGCATACAAACAAGTGTGCGTACTTGACCAGCGGCCTGGGCTAAGTACCTTTGACTTTGACTGTTGGGTGGACCGACAGTTGACTAAAGTTAACTGTCACACGCCGAGGCCCTGAAGAATTTGTGTGGGGTCTTTTTTTTTCCCCTGTTTCGGCCTGGGCTGAGGGCGGCCAAGAAGGCCCTCAGATTTCCAGGAGACATATGGCATCGGTTATTGCAGAATCTTTTACGGCAAAAAAAAAAAAAAAAAAAAAAGAAGAAGAAGAAGAAGAAGAAGACGAAGAAGAAGGAAGAATCTTTCAAGGCCAGAGAGAGCTCCACGCTTTCCAATAAGAAGAGTTTTGGACATATCGAGAGATCAAGATTTCCTACAGATTAAGAGTACGTGGATCTCAATATCCCTATGGTTTCGATTTCCATATTCGAGTTATCGTATTTTCCCTGCTAGCCCAAAAAAAAAAAAAAAAAAAAAAAAAAAAACCCTGCTAGACTACCATCCACAGTATTTCCCCTTCCCCATGTGTTGTCCCACGACGGAGCTCTTCTGCGAATGAATTTTCCCAGGCATTCGTCGAAAAAAAATTCCCCCGTAATCCGGTAGTAGGCGTAGAAGCCTTTTAAGAAAAGGGGGTCCGTAACCCCAGTCCAGTCAGTTCAACAACCGGGAAAAAGTGTGTGTCAGTTAGGTGAAAAGAGTCTACCGTCTTCACCCAAATAGAACGTAGTACGGTCATTATTGCTGTATCTAGACTGAAAGGTACCCCTAGTACAGCTTCAATGACCGTTCGTTCTATTCGGGGAAAGACGGGTAATTCTTCAGATAAATAAATGTGTGTCTACTGTCAAAAAAATGACTGAGGCATTATTTTTTCCCATCTGGGTTTTTTTTTTTTTTTACCTTGTTTATTTCCGTTTTGTTTTTCCGTTTTGCTTTTCCGGTTTTTTTTCCGTTTTTTCGAAAAATTTCCCGTTTTTTTCTTTTACCCTTTTTTTCGTTTTTTTCCTTCTTTTCTTTCTCGTTTTCCGGTTTTTTCTCCTTTTTTTCTTCGTTTTTTTCCCGGTTTTTTTTTCCGTTTGTTTTTCGTTTGTTTTT